TATTTTTATTTTAGAATCTTAATATTTCATTTTAAAATATTGCGTGCACAATCTATTATTCGTTAATTCGAAAATTGCTTGCGGAATCAAATTTTCAAATATTTAGAGGTGTCAAACCATATTTAAATGTTCTACACTATTTTTAAATATTCCAAATTAAAATCTTTAAAATTTTTTTGTAGTTTATAAAATTATGAATTTCAAAAAACAAATTATATGAAATTAAATATAACTATTCAAATAGTTATAAGGATCAAAACTCATTTCATCATATAATATATTATATTTAACCCGCTACCTATTATAAATATTTTTAAAAATAATCAAATTAGAGTATTTATAATTTTTAACTTTTTGAACTATTAAGTATTGATGATATTCTCTAAAAATATTAAGTAAAACTTATTTTAAATGTTTCAAATTAAAATATTTAATTTTTTATTTTAGTATATAAAATTATACATTTCAAAAAAATAAATGTATGAAATCGAATATAAATATTCAAATTCTGACCCGTTGCTCAGTCGGAATTTTTGTTGAATTTATTTTTGTCTAAAAGAAATATATTACTCAAGTCTGAATTTTTGACCCGTTTAATTGTTTCCTTTATAGATTGAACAATTTATATGCGTTTTTAAAAATTCAAAGCTTGGCATATGCAGAAAAAAATTACTTTTGTTTTTAATTATGTAGATGATATGATGATTTATTTGTTTCATATAAATATAATCATATAAAGATGAGAGGTGAAGTTTAATGATTAATAACAAATTAATATGGTAAGTTAGATATCAAATCTTATATGTTCATTTTGATTGGTCATTTAAAAAAAAAATAATAATAACAGATTTTCGTTTTATAATTTAATTAAATTAATTAAATGATATAAATTAGTATTTTACTTGTTTATCCTTAATAAATTGAATGAAATTTGTTCTAAAATAAGATTTTTGTAATGGCATTCTTAAGTAATTATTTACAAAAAGGAAGGTTAGTTAAGGGTATCTTATAAAGTGTACTTCCCAAATAATAGTATAGGATTAATATACTGTAGTACCAATATAACTGAACTTTGTCACTGAGCTTACGGCAAAAAACATATGAATTAGTAATTTCTCCTATTTTTGAGCAAATTATTACTAATTTTTCAATATTTTGATTTAAGCTTTTTATTAAGTTATTATTCCTTCCAACGTTTTTTTTTTCTTTTGATATCTTTAATTCCTTCAAATGTTTCATTCATGGTTTCAGTTTTTCCGTAATCTTTTCTCATAAAGACCATTATAAATATACTACTATGTAATACACATGCAAATTTTATTTTATTTAAATTTATCGAGTAATTTTATTTATACTAAATTATAAATATTTGGTAAATTAATTTGTGTTTATAGTAATAATATTCCTTCTGTATCTTTTTTTTTTTGTTTTTAAAAATAGATATTGTAAGATTTCTATGTGATATTTATTAGTTATTATTGATGAATTGTAAATTTTAAGAAAAATATTGGAATACTATTGGTTTTGAGCTATAGAAAATTAACCACACAAAATAATATATTTATATTCAGATTTTAAAATGTTTTTTAATATGTGTGATATTCTTAGAAATATCTTAATAAAGAGTATATTTCATAGTCAGGTAAAATGTGTAAAACAATTTATTTAAATAAAATAATAAAGAAAAAATAATTTAGAAAAGTGTCAACAATGTCTAATTTAGAAAAGTGTCATAATGTCTAATTTAGAAAAGGGCCGCCATTCAACAAAATTAGTTTAGGAAAATATCAACACTATTTTACTATTAACATGAATTAATTTATTAAAAAAAAAAAAATTTGTTATACATAAAACTATATATAAAATTACGTATAATAAATTCGTTTGTAAGTGTATTCCACGTTTTGTTTTAGAATTCTAAACAAACGTTTGGTTGCACAATTCATCACTAGTCAATTTTATTGGTTTTAGGTGAAAAAATATATGCTGGTATAGTAGAAAACATAGTATTTATAGTAGAGACTTTTGTTATTTTTCAGGTCATATAGTAATATAAGATTTATTTCAAACTAAATATGTATTTAAGAAAATCAAATAATTTAATCAGTAAAATTTTGAAATAGGGTATAGAAATTTGAGAAATTGTTAAAAATGCCCCTTTTTCAATACCCCTTTTCAAAAATGCCCCCTTTGAGAGTCTATTTTTAAGTTTGCCCTCTTTTAATTTTTAATGACCATTTTACCCTTATTTGAAACAAAATTAGGTCCACAAAATACAAAATATTTTTTGGCGGGAAAAGTGATCCCGCAATTTTCCCGCCAAAACACTTGTAAAAACCCTGTAAAATTTTCCCGTAAAAATTTTTCCCGCCAAAAAATTTTCCCGCCAAAAAACTTTTTTTGCGGGAAAAGTGATTCCGCAATTTTTTTTGCGAAATTTTTTTGGCTGGAAAATTTTTGGCGGGAAAAATTTACAAGGTATTTTAAAGGTTTACAGAGTATTTACAAGTGTTTTGTAAGGTTTTACAATGTATTTTAAAAGGTTTTACAAGGTACTTATAAGGTTTTATAAGGTATTTATAACTTGTAAAACCTTATAAAAAACTTGTAAAACCTTATAACTTGTAAAAACCTTATAAAATAGCTTGTAAAATCTTATAATATCTTATAAATACCTTGTAAATACGTTGTAAAACCTTTTAAAATACATTGTAAAACCTTATAAATACCTTGTAAAAAACCTTTAAAATACCTTGTAAATTTTTGGCGGGAAAAATTTTCCCGCCAAAAATTAACGCCAAAAAAATGCGAA